AATTTTAAAAAAAAGGAATGAATTTTTTTTTTGAAAAAGAAAATCCCTACATAAAGTGGTATCCTGATTTGGCTATCTCACCCGTAATTATGAGTTAAGATGCTGCCCCGGAGTTTTCTAATCAAAGTGGATAAAAGATTATCCAGAAAAAAGAAAAGAAAATAATAATGGATATTAAAGGATTTTTTAGAATAATTAGGGTACAATTGAAGCTATCCAATTCCCTTTATCACAAAAAAATAAAAATAAATAAATAAATAAATAAAAGTTCAACCAATTGAGAGTGCGACTCTCCCTCTAAAAGGAGTCCATTATTCTTGTAGGTTAACCTTACCCATCAAAAAAGATTGATTAAATATTGTTACACATAAGGTGTAAGGATGTTTAGTATGAGCAGAAATTGAGGTTAAATTTATTTATTTGACAATTTATAATGTTTATTATAAAATTATATTTTATATTTACTATTAAATAAATTTTTTTATTCATTTAATATAATGAAAATGGAATATATAATTGAATATTAAATTTGCAGTCAGAAAAGAAAGCAAAAAAACGTGATTCCAATTAGAAAATAAAATGGAATCGAAAACATTTTTGTCTTATTTTCATTAGATTTATTAGCATAATAATAATCGAAATGGGAAAGTATATCCAGCGTCAGCAAGTGGGTCCACATCCCCACCAAAAAATTCAGAAAGAAACACAGTTCCCTAATCCGAGTAAAATACTAAATTTCCAAAATCAACATTAATTAATTTGTTAGGAAAAAAAAATCTATTTTCCCATTTTTTCCTCTTACCATTTTTCCCTATATAACAGCTCTTCTCTTCTTCCTCGGCTCTCCTCTTGTACTCTCTATTCTCACTTGTCTCCTTAGAATCATAAATCTTTTTTCCTTTTCTCTTTTCTAGAAGTTATGGCACCAATCGGAGTCCCTTCCGACAAGAGCCTAATTGTGAGCTTCGGTGAGATGCTCATCGACTTTGTCCCCACCGTCTCCGGTGTTTCTTTAGCCGAGGCTCCGGGATTTCTCAAAGCCCCCGGCGGAGCCCCAGCCAACGTGGCGATTGCCGTGGCTAGACTTGGAGGCAAAGCGTCTTTCGTCGGAAAACTCGGAGACGACGAGTTCGGTCACATGCTCGCGGATATTCTCAAGAAAAACGGAGTCTCCTGCGATGGGATCTTGTTTGACCAAGGCGCTAGGACCGCTCTTGCCTTCGTGACTCTACGCGCCGATGGAGAACGTGAGTTCATGTTTTACAGGAATCCTAGTGCCGATATGCTGTTGAAGCCGGAGGAACTGAATCTCGATCTTATCAGATCTGTAAGTGATCTTATCATCTTTTTCCTTGCACTCAACAAATCTATTAATTTTTGTCTTCTTTTTTCTTTAATGCAATTTCGTTTGGTTCTTTTTCAAATGTTGACTCAGAAGAAACAAGAAATATTCACCATTTTTTTTCTAATCAAGAGACAGTAGGAGAAAAGAGGTGATTATCACGTGCCATAATGTGATCGTAGCCTTTCACTGAAGGGTGACATGTCAGTCAGCATTATGACTGTACGATCCCGGGTTCTTCGAGGGACCCACTATGAGTATCTAAGCACCCAAAACTCTGTCGTTTTTCTTCGTGATTTTTTTTCTTAAAAGCACCGAACACGCCCGGTGAGGTTTGGTCGACGTATTAGTGCAGTAAAACTTTTTACTTTTCTATAGATCTAAATCTGAAATAACAATGATTTTTAAGTTTAACTAGCAACTTCCGCGTGGGAAGTGTTCCTTTGCATCTAATGTGATCCGAACCGGGTAAGTTGGCCGTGTTTTGCGGGTTACTTTCATTTGAATTGGAAATGTCAAACTTTTTTTTCACACTACTGTTAAATTTCTGTTGTCTGGCCACGTGGGATTATATGATTGTGTCCACGAGAGGTCCCAAATCCAATCCCATCGTAGAGCGCTTGCTAAACCCTCGTGCGGTAGCGATTATTACGAGAGTTCACGTGCTTCCGTTTGGTACAACAACCGTGAATCCGAAGGGAATCCCCGTAGATCTCGAGTTTCCATTTTCGTGTCTTTTTTTCCTACTGTGAACTTTGAATTTACAATAATGGCCTTGTCCTAATTGAGAAATCATTTTTTTTTCAAGGATAGATCTGGAATTCGGTTTTTACAGATAGTGATTCCCTGTACCTTGTTCATAGCAGAATAAACTTGTAATTGCAGTTTGAATCAAATTACTAGCGTTCTTATAAAATTTCGTAATTATAGATTGATGTGATTTGGGCATTTGTTACTAATAAATATTGGTTTATGATGGTCAACGTGACTTAATTCCTTAAGCTTTGCTCTACTCATGGGTTTATCGAACAAAAATGCATCTGGATCATGCTTGATACGTCGGTGGATGTGGTAAATGGGAGGGAGAGTGAACTCAATGAATTTATAAATCATTTTTCTATTTTTATGGCATACATAAAGAAATTGAATGTTTGGTAGGTGAGAAGTTGAAAATGTCCCATATGAGTTTTCTTTGTTTGTTAGCTTATGGACCATAATGATTGGCCTACCTAACAAAACTGCATTATGTATCGGTTTTATTCGAAATTTGCTTGTATTGCAATTTTCAGAACAAAGTTGTCTTAATTTATTGATTTGGTGGATTTTTTGGGGTATATTTAAATTGATTTCTGTTAATAATTTTTTGTGCAGTCCAAAGTGTTTCACTATGGATCCATAAGTTTGATCGTGGAGCCATGCAGATCGGCTCACCTAAAGGCAATGGAAGTGGCCAAGCAATCAGGTGCTTTGCTCTCATATGATCCAAACCTTCGCCTGCCACTTTGGCCTTCAGCTGAGGAGGCAAGGAAACAGATCTTGTCCATCTGGGATAAGGCAGATGTTATCAAGGTAAGTGATGTTGAGCTAGAGTTCCTCACCGGTAGCGACAAAATTGATGATGAAACTGCCATGAAACTTTGGCACCCCAACTTGACGCTACTCTTGGTCACCCTAGGTGAAAAGGGTAGCAGATACTACACCAAGGTAATGCTAAATTCAGCCTCTTGTATTCTCAGTTGATGCTTCTTTGCTTTTAGTAATTTTGACTCTTAGCTGTCATGGTAGGTGATGCCTTTATTTTGCTGGTCGATAATGACTTTTAGCTGTCATGAGCTTTCATTGATCTAAGAATTTAAATTTTAGATACAAACCTTAATTACCCATTCTATTTATATATATTCATTTGATTCTCCATTCTATCTATAGTTCTAGTGCTAGTTAAATCGCTTCATAAGCATATCTTTACTTATAGTATTATGTAATGTAGTATCATAGAAAAAAGATTCTAATATATATTTAAACCAACCCACTGCAAATGATGTCCATTGGTTGATGCCAAAGGACGTGGGTTTTTTAGTCTCCCGCAAACTAAATTTGAACTTAAAAAGCATGCTGCTAGTTTAGTCAGCCCTGGGCCCAAACATGGCAACTTGGGACTTTGATTAATAATTATACAGGGCGGGGTAGGTGGGTTTTTCAACCTGAACTCAAAAACTATGCACATTGGATTAAACTAGTTCTTAAAAATGCGGTGCAAAGGTCTTGGTTTGGCGTTTTAGGTCTAAAATAATTTATTTTCTGTTAGTAAAACATTTCCAACAATGGAAAAATCGTCATTCTTGTTTTGTGGAATGCAGAATTTCCATGGTTCAGTGGATGCTTTTCATGTGAATACTGTGGATACAACTGGCGCTGGGGACTCCTTCGTCGGTGCATTGCTATGCAAGATTGTTGAGGACTCAACCATACTTGAGGTAACAAATAAGCCATTTTGTCAAAAAAAATTTAATTAGGCTAGTATGGCCTACGGCATTTACATGTGTTCTGAACGTGTGTCTTCAATTGGCAGAATGAATCCAAATTGAGGGAAGTGCTAAAATTCGCAAATGCATGTGGAGCCATCACGACAACCCAAAAGGGAGCAATCCCTGCCCTTCCAACCGAGGCTGATGCCCTTGCCTTAATCAAAGGAGCTTAGGAAAACTCGAATAAAATAACTGCACATCGTTTTGCCTTTTCCTTTCTTTTCTTTTCTTTTCTTTTCTTTTTATTTTTATTTTTATTTTATTTTCAAAGAGGGTTTTCAAAGATTTTTCTCCCTCGTCTTTTATCCTTCATATCCCCTGCCCTTTCCCTGTTTGCTGCCGTGTAAGGATGGAAGACTATGTGCTTTTAACGGCATTAGGAATAATTTTTTTTCTTGTTTAACGTGGGCGCTGAATAATTTGCAATTGAGAGTCACGTGCTGCCATCATTGAGGTACTGTTGTTTAGCTTTGGTTCTGAAAAAGTGAAGTTGAAGCAAGAAAAGCTCATATTCCAACCAAAGTCTTAACATATCAAGTATTTTAAATAAAGCTAAAAATTAAATTACAAGTATGTCTCAGGAACTCAAATCACTATTCTTTCACGCACTAAAAAGTTAAATATTAGACTTTACCACCTTACTGGAGGTTTTCATTAGGTCTATGCTTAAGCCTCCCCAGTGTTGTCATTATAATAACTCTATACCATGGCTTCCCTCTCCTCGTGTCTGAGCCTTTTAATCTTTAGTTGCCAGCAGGTCGTAGCTGGAAACCAGAGTTGAATGAATACGCCGTGTTTTACTAGTTCACCTTTTGAAATGTGAAGCTGCTAGGATTATAACTATCAAAAGCTGGTGTCAGTTCGGCTGATGCTCGATATTTATATTAAAATGCTTCAGTAAAAACCATTCCTGAAGACCATTAGAGCATACAACAGGCTTCTGACTTCCTCAAGCTATTGAATACAGTGGGCTTGGATTATTTCTGGTTTAGATCATTTATGAATGAGTCATTTTAAGTCAGATAACTTTCTATTACAGGATTAGTGGATGGGGAAAAGCTGATTGGAAGGGATTCTAAAAGCAGTCATCCCCATTCGGAAACTCCAGTTTTATCCCTAAGCACCATAGCAACTCAAGGCAAAATTTAATTGAATAGATATAGGAAAATTACTCTATTCATAAGTGCAGCTTAAGTTCATTTGTATCATTCTACAAACCTTTGACAAGATCTAATTCCAAAGTAATTAAGTCTACCAGACAGAATCTAATTCCAAAGCAGTCAAGTCTTCTGAATATCTCTCCATTGCAGATGATCTTAGGCCATATCTTCGAAAGATGTAAAGCTGCAAACCCTCTTTAATTCCTTGAATCATCTGCTTTCAACCTATATCTATTCCTTCCCAGAATATACATCATTGACGGTTTCGGGGTTGGTAGGAGGTCCTTTTTATCATAACCTTTTTTGCTATTACGGGTTGGATCAAGGGGATGGCTGGGTTCAAACAATCATGGTTCTGAATGGTGTGCACAAAAGGAATTGAGTGCCGGATCACCTTGATCATATTGACACATGGTTCCGACGACCGTGCTAGGAAATCAATAAAATGTCAACCCATCAAATCAATAAAATGTCAACCCATCAAAATGCTTTATCATCGCTGTCTTGATAGATCATCGTTTGTTACCTATTTAATATCTTTCATCAAGGTTGGAATATAGTGTTGGCCATCTAAAGTAGTAAGTATGCCGAATGGAAACAAGGATTTTAGCATCATACAGCATCTCTTCCAGTGGAAAAGCTGAGCAGGCTGAAGTAGGGCTAATTAGCGTTAGGGTACAGCATCTTCTATAATGCAATTGCCTGTGGGTAGCATTCACTAACCTCCATTTCCAAGGAGCTCCAAGTTTGTTTGCATCTTTCCCACTTTGACTGCAAGTGAGTCAAAAACATCTCTGCCCATGGCTCATTGCTTCCTCTCATGCTCATATCATAGGGCACTGAAAAACTGTATAATAGAATGAGAGAAACGAATTGATTTCATAATGTAGTCTATTCAATATAAAAGACCTAAGAAACATAAGTAGGAATTACATACTAATTCTACTAAAAGAGTATAATGTGTGTGTGTTGTTAGTACAACTAAGGGTGGACGTTTGGAACCTGCACTATAGTTATTAAAGTTTACAACTGAGTAATATTTGGCTCAAATATTTTAAGCTTTCAACTGCAACAGTTCAAAATTTGCGAAAGCCACTACTCATGTAGTTCTATACAAATGATAATTACAAAATGAAAAAAATAGTAAGATGGTTCAAACTACACTGAGAATAATAGTAACACAAAATCTGAGCACTGGCTGGGATAATTGCAGGCAATCACTAGAGTTAATGATCACAAGAGGGTCACTCTAGAGCCCTGAGCCCTGAATGTAACCACCTACAAGCACTTCTTAAACCTCCCCAGGTGGCACTGGTAAAATGTAATGGGCTCACTCTCTCAGAAGAAAAACAAAGAAAAAGAGTGTAATCATTGCCTAAGAGCAACTTAAATGGGGACCCTTATAGATTACTTCAGGGTACTTACCTCATCAGCTCTTCCAGGGGAGATCCTTTATTGGGGGTACTATTCCTGCAATAATTTGAAATTTTGACACAAACAAATGCTCGTTAAGCTTTATGTTGCTTATAGCAATATAGCAGATAAGGGAACTGACTTCATTTGGCCACAAGTTTGAAACATAAAACTCAGGTCACGACCCTTGAACCTACATACCATACATTTCAACAGATACCACTCAGATATTGAGGAACATATTTCCTCTTAATCAGATTCCTCAACATTATATTAATTACTTTCCTTTCTTCCTTAGAAAAGCATAATCGAAAACTTGCATTCGATACAATGAATATCTTTTTATTTTGCGATTTTGAATATTTGGGACCAGATCAACCTTCTTTTACTCTGAATGAAGAAAATGCAATTTTCCAAAAACATAGCTACAAGATTTAACAGAAACAAAAAAATTCAGGAGTACTCAGCAAAAGCAGCATTAAATATCATTCAAGAGACCTTAATTCATGTAATTGGAGTTAAACAAATCAAGAGTCAGGAAGAACAAACCTTCGTATCAAAATCTTGTAGATACGAAGAAATTTGGTGGAAAGGTTATAAACAGCATCTCCAATATGATCCTTGGTAAACAAGTACACTACCGGATAACCAAGAAGCCATCTGCAGCAGAATAGAAATTAGAGCACCATAATGGGAAGACATTCATAAGTTATCACAAGTGCAGAAACCACCTGAAGAAAATCAACATGGTTTTGGTATTAGAGAAAAGACTAACTGCTTATGGTACTTGAATCAATGTCAATATTCTCATTAGAGATACACAGGCAAGTTGCTCATTTAAGAACTTAGGAACAGAGTAAATTGCCCCAGCTAGAGAGTGCCAGCAACTGGCTTCTCAGTGTGGAAAAATCCATTTTGAACCTATTTAAATTGCCTATAATTAAAAACTTGTGATTGAGAGAATTACACACAAGGTACTCAATTTTCTCACAGAGAAGCATGTGTTTGCCACAATATGTGTTGGCATAGAATATAAGATAAGATATACTTGATATATGTAAAATAATCAGGTTTAAATGATTACCCATTTATAGTTGGCACAGTGACCTTAGTGTCATGCATGCAGCTACTGAGATCCATAAGCAAAGAAGATTTAGAATTGATTGGCTCACTTAAGGAATTGGTATCTGCCCTGGGTTCTGTCCTGTTAGGTGGCAAGAGATCATTTCTCATTCCTTCAAGAGGAAAATATAAAGAGAACAACTTCTGAATTGATATAAGCTGCATCCCTAATAAATGTTTGTCGTCTAGTCTTCTCATCTGGAACAAAATGAGAGGTTCTTCATTCAGAAGGTAAAAGATGCATCTATTAGAGAGGATATTAACATATTACAAAATTTAAAAGCAGGCAGGAGGAAAAACCTTGGGAGGATCCTCTTCAAGATCCACAAGTAGCAGTTCCACTTCAGAGCTCAAGCTCGAACTCACATACTTGGCCATTTCTTCTACATGTATCAAATATATCATATCTTCTATAACCATTACTCTTAGCTGTTCAAAGATGGGTGACTCCTGAATGAAATCATATTAGGTGATAGTATTTAACCCCATGAGTGACAACCTTTCAACAAGCATGGTAAAAAATGGAAAGATAAAATACTACCAGTAGATATAACAAACCGGGTAGTGCATCTAACACAGATGTTGTAAGAATCAGTATGTACACAAAAAAAAAGAGGTCCCCACAACTAGAGCTGTCTATTGGACAAAGATGTACGCTCATAAAGAACAATACTGGATAAATGATACAACCTTATCTTTTGATTATGCCTTCGGAGATTGTAGCTTATACTAAACCAAGCAGATTCTTATATTGGAGCCACAAAATAGTAGGGTTTAAGTTGGTATGTTTGCACATACAGAACCATAATTAGCATGAGTTAGTCATGAGGGGGAATTCTGATAGTTGAACCATAAATCATAGATAAAGATAATACATTTCCTGATTCATAATTAAGCAGTGAATCATTTAATGTGAAAAAGTTTTTTTTTTCCCTAAAAAAGGATCTTACCACTTTGAAAGCTATCAAAAAGTATAAAATATAAGTAAACTTCTACCATATAATTTTGACAGAAAGATTTCTAATAAAAAAGGCTCTTGCTTCTTCTCTCCTTTTCCAGCAGAAGAATAAATGACCAGTTTCAAGTTCAACACTCAATCCTCAATTGATTGAAAATCAACAAAAGTTCTTTATGGGATTGATACTCGGAAGACAGCTAAAATAAAACTCCAATAAGTCCTACAGATATCTTGTTTATACAAAAATCACCTTTAAGAAAGGAAGTTGATGACTATTTTAAGAATATTCTCTCAGTCACGAGGGTATGGAAAATCAGTACACATATCTTAGTGTGAAGAATGCATGAATAAACACAGATTTAAATTCCGTAATTTATGATATAGAATACTGAGGACTAAAGCAAGTCACATATACGTAAATGCATACTTATCTATCACCATGCACTTCAATGATATAATTTCATATAATTAAAACATGTTAAGGCACAGAATGGAATATAGTGAATTATGAACATCAATCTAAAAGTAGCTTGTTGCAGAAGACATAATACAGTGGATCAGACAACTCAAATACAAGAAAACTAAAACAAACAATAAAAAGAGAGCTTGTAAGGATATATTCAATTCAATTCCCAAATAATCTAGTGAATCCATGCAGAGTAAGACCTTTTGACTGTGGTCAAGAAACGCACATAGATGTTCCTGTAATTCAGGCATCTTTCCACCATAGTCAATCATCACAACTGGCCTCATTCCGGAGCACAAGGCCAGAACATCTGCACAAGCATTAGTGCCAAGTTATGATCTAAATATTTCCATAAGACAGAACATGAGGTTAATTTTTAGAAATACCAAACTTCTTCCAGTTCCAATACTCAAGCACCACATAAATAATAAAAGGATGAGAACATTCTCAGTTTTTGCAGTACCAAGGTCAAAATATTGCCAAGTTACAGCAGTTCCATTTGGTTTTGCTTTTGCTACCAGGCAACATTAAAAACCAAATCATATTATATTAAAAGTAAACAATGAATTAAATATAATACACATTTAAACTTAATTGATCTACCATATAAAAGTAAAATCATGCATAAGTTAAACTTTTTACTTTTAATTATTCAAATTTTGCAATTGTATCCAAAGTTAACTTTTGCCTCTTAGTTCTGAAAGCAAAAGGAAAGCAGTAAAAAAAAAAAAGCAACAATCAAACAAAAGGTGCATAAAAATCCTAGGTCTCAACCTCAAACAAAATTTTCAAGTTATTACAGAACATAGCATTCATCACAGAAAGAAAATGGGATGTCAAACCTTGATGTTGCAAAGAAAATGTACCAAAGAAAGAAATTCATGCTTTTCACCAAGAAACTGAGAGAACTAAAATCCTTCATACCTTTCAGCAATGCAAAAATTTTGACTTCAGCAGTTAGCTTACTTATATTTTCATTCATATAAAAGAAACAGTATTAACAAGAAAAAAAATCACTCTTTTCTGATCGAGCAAACAAAAGGGTTATACCCAAAAACATAACGCTAACATGAAAAGTAGAGAAAACCCAGAAAGTGAAACATTGAAAGGAACCCAGAAACGTCTCAATCAAAGGAAAGGACCTATTTGGAGTCGACGCTTAGCAGAAGATTTAAGACGCCATTTGATGTGTGAGAGAGAGGCGTCCAACACCTTCAATGCTTCCTCTACCTGTGCAGCTTCCATATCAAAGCTCTAACCTTTTCAAGAGATTCCTACTTTATCCTCTTACATAGAAAAAAATGGTGAGGAAATGAATTAAGCAAGGACTTGGGACTGGGGACTCTGGACCTCAGAACTAATGTACTGTGCGAAGAAGACCCCACTCCATGACCATTTCAGTTGCTCAAGCTGGACTGGGCTTGACCAGATTTTAGTCTTTGGATTATGATTCACATCTACCTTAAAAATTAATCCGCATTAGGAGTCCTCCAATATTTTCAGATGAGCCCTAAACCCAATTAAAATTTCATTTCTTACTAGATCGTTAAGCCCTTCCCTTTTTTTTTTTTTTAATGAATCAAGCGCTGAAAGAGAATACAATGAGGTTATTGAGGGAAAAGTTAATGGACATGAAAAGTCAAAAGTATTTATTTTGCAATTTAAAAGTCAATTAAAGCTAAATTATAATTGAAATGAAAATTAAATTCTTTTTTTTATTTGGATGTAGTTTAATTATCAAAATTTTAAATTAATTTTATATAAATAAGATGTTAAAATTTTATTTATAATTAGTTTATACTAATTCAAAATATTGGTGTATCATTCTCTTTAATGTTGAAATTTATAAAAAAAAAACAAAGAAAATTTTACGTGAAAACAAAAATCATTTCAACTTTTATGGCCAAATTATTAAAAAGAGGAAAGCTTCGGATGGATTGGTCCAATGACGCCAAGCAACCAAGGTGGCTGCACGTGGTTGGCGCGTGCATTATACGATTTCCCCCCTCTTTTTTTGGCATTTATTCTCTCTCCATTTCTCTCACCGTTACTTCCCTTCCTGAGTTTTCCACTGCGGCCCTGCCCCTACCACGTGGAAACCCTCACCGGAATCTCGTCGGAACTCCGATCTCGTTCGCCGGAACCCTCTTCGGATTCACCGCTCCTTAGTCAAAAGGTCCTTCCTTTTCAGATCCATATCTCTTTATTATTAATATGATAAGATAATTTTTTGTGCATTTCTATTTTGCGTGATCTAATTTAAGTTTTCCTTATAAATTAAAATGAATTAGTGGCTGAAATTCTTCTTTGTTGTTTTTATTCTTATTCTTCTTATTATTATTTTACTTTGTAGTTGAAACTTGAAATGCTTTGATCGTTGATTCAGAATTGTTCATGTTCAGAATTTGATTTTTGCATGTGGAAAGTAGATATATAACTGAACATCTATAATTGAGCTGATTTTCAGTTGTTTGGGTTCAATTTGGATGTAAAGATTATATATTATTATCATTTGTTGTTGTGAAGTTTAAGTTCCTATTGCCTTCCTGTGGCTGTTACTTAGGAGCTTAGGGCTAACTTGATGCAAATAAAAGGGTTTTAAGTGATTGAGACAAAGAGGCCATGTGGCATGAGTAGAAGTTGAAGTTCTATTCAGGGTTATACACAATCTATCTGCTAGGTAAAATAAGTTGTCAAATAAGGGGGTATTTGAAACTGAGAACGCTTATACTGTTAGGTGTTTTATGGAATGATTTTGACTGAGGTGAGGTAGGACAGGACTAAGGAATTTTAGAGCTTATTGTATTTGTCAATTGGAAGGAATAATGTGAAAATTGAGTTCTTCAACTGTGGGTAAGAGAGCATCTAAGTCAGGGCTCCTTGGATGACATGAAAAAGATGATTTATTGTAAGCTGATAAATGCCACGAACTCTTGGTTTGTATAAATGCCATTAACTCTTGGTTTGTTTAAGGGCCTGAACTTACGAAGGTGCAGTCTGAACTGGAATGATTATGAAGGAGAGAGAGAGGGGAGGTTATCCAGATTGCTTGATCTGTTTCTTTTCTTGGTTCTTACAGTTTATTGGGAGAGTTAAAGATAGATATAGATTATTGACCTCAACCTGTGTTTTGGGATCTTTGTTGATTTCAGAAATTTGATATTTCTCTTAATTTGAATATATTGCATAGGTTAAAGCTGCTTATAATCTGCATAATAAGTCATGTAGTGTATTAGCATAGAATCTTTTGTGCTTGAAATGCAAATTAGAGGAGATGAGATTGATCAACAAACAGGAATGGTTGCAAATTTGTAAAATAACTAAATACTTTAGAGTAATTCTCCTTTGTTTATGAATTACATTAGGGTAATTCATTTACACTACTGTATCTTTTATCATTTTCAGAATGTGTTTGGATATTTAACAATAGCAGTGGTCATTAAGCATTGCTACTGTTCTGTACAGATTCATATATATATATATATAGTTACATCATCATATTATCAGACAGAAGTATTCAACTCTGGCTTCTGTTTTTACCTGTTAGGGTATAGATGGTGTTCTCTTAAAATTTGAAGTTCATGACTTCTTATTCTTGCACCATTTATATGAGTTTTTTTTTGAAGAAAAGTTTTCTCACCATTTTATTGCTCCTTTTGATTTCAGAAATGTATACTAATGTGGGAGCCCAGCCTGGGGTACCAAGACCGCCAACAAATCCTCAGCCAAATCCATTTGGTAATGCATTTTATGGGGCTGGTTCTGGTCTTATCCGGGGAGGTCTGGGTGCATATGGAGAGAAAATTTTGGGATCAAGTTCTGAGTATGTGCAAAGCAATGTAAGTAGCATGCCTGGTTCAGTTATCTAAAGAAGCTTACTTTTTGCTATCATATATGCTAAAATACTGTATTCTTTCACCCCTAAGAACAGTGCATTTGTTGATTCCTGAGACTGTTCTTAGGGGTGTATTTGATTTGTTTCAATTTAGTTTTTGGAAAAGTTTTCAGTCAAATTGACATATGTACTTCTAAATTGGAAAATTGAAACCAAAGCAAATTTCTTAAATTTCTAACCAAAATTTTGTGGTTCAATTTGATTACTTGGTTTTTTTATTAACAAGGATTTTTAATTTTGTAATATTTTTTGGGTCTACATACTTGAACTTTAAGAAAATAACTATTAAATTTATGCAAGAATTTAAAGTAACTAAAAAGAATATAAATTTGGTTAGGATTAGATTATTTTGGATTTTAGTAGTACCACCCAAGACCAAAATGAACCAATGGTTGTTATCGTTACCTGAACTGAGAACAATAAAAAACCAAACCAAACTAACATCATGGCTCAGTTCAGTTTTTCAGTTTCTTCAATTTTTTTTCCCTTTTATTTATTTTGGCACAGCCCTAACTGTTGTGCATTATGCTATCTGAGGACTAACCTTGAGAACTGTGGGGAACAATTGTATATGCCATGTAAATGTTTGGCATTAATAAGCATGGGTTATTTGTGTAATAATGAGTTAGAAATTTTGGCATAAATGGTAGAGGAAGTTGAAATATATTCCTATTATAAAGGTAATAATATGCCTTTGGTGTAAACAGTTATTAAGATAAAAAAAAAGTGATGCATATCATAAATGCTCCAAATTTATGAATTTTTTTCTTGCCTCATACATTTCTTCTTCTTCTTTTTTTTTTTTGCCATCTTGGAATGAGCAGATAAGTAGATACTTCTCTGATCCCCAGTACTACTTTCAAGTGAATGATCAGTACGTGAGAAACAAATTGAAGGTTGTTTTACTGCCATTTCTGCACAGGGTAAGCATATGGTTTTATTTGTGTAATCTTCCATTCTTTTGTTTAAGTCACCTTCTCAGATTCTACCTTTTCCTTCAGGGTCATTGGACAAGAATAACTGAGCCAGTAGGTGGCAGGCTTTCCTATAAACCCCCAATTTATGACATAAATGCACCAGACCTGTACATCCCATTTATGGCATTTGGTACCTATGTTGTTCTTGCTGGATTGTCCCTGGGCCTTCAAGGAAAGTAAGTGAATTTTTTCCTCAATCTAACAGCTTCCATTCCTACCTTCTATTTACAAAATTTTGCAATGTACATTCTAGTGGTTTGAAACCTTATGCTGGACAGAGGTCTTCCTGCTTTGTTGTAGTTTTGATTAGGTTATTTCCAAACACTGGTTGCTAACCGTAACTCAGCAACTATGAGGGGGGTGACTTCTGTGTTTTCCTCTATGCCCCAATCCTCTGCTTGCTATATAGGCTTTCCCTCGGTGTTCTGTTGGGATCTTAATGAAGAAGCCAATAGCTAAACCAATTTGTGTGGCATCTAATGTTTTTTATTTGATAATTGAACATCCCTGTGAGATGAAAGCAAGTCAAAGAGTTTTGTGTTGAGGCACCACAGACAGAATGAATCTTTTTCTATATAGTGTCCACATTATGAGTGAAAAGAGAAATAGTAATTGTTATTCTTACACCATACGATTGGTTACTCAAAAGTTGTCTGTATTTTGACTTATTTTTGGAACTTGGAATGGTACATCTTGTGTCTCCTATGAGAAACTTAGCCCTCAATGCTGATTCTATTTACCCTAAGATCTGGCTTCTAGTTGTGTAGACTAATTTCTGGTGGTGACCACTCTAGACGTGGTATTGTGATTCATAATGCAGCGAACTTGATTTTTATGACTTTTAGTTTTCTGCATGTATATTACTTGGCAAGACTATTGATCATGTGTTCCTTTTTTTTCTTACCCTGAATGGTTTATATTCTCTTCTTTTCCACCAGGTTTAGCCCTGAAGCACTTAACTGGCTCTTTGTTAAGGGATTGCTTGGCTGGTTTCTGCAAGTCATGCTGCTGAAAGTAACATTACTTTCATTGGGTAGTGGTGAGGCACCGTTACTTGACATCATGGCATATGCTGGGTATACATTTACAGGAATGTGTTTTCCTGTTCTCGGAAGGATCATATGGAGATACTCATACTACTTTTTGATGCCATGGACATGCTTATGCATGGGAGTCTTCTTGGTGAAGACAATGAAGAGAGTACTCTTTGCAGAGGTTAGAAGTTATGATTCCAGCAGGCACCACTACCTTTTGCTTTTTATCGCCCTGGCTCAGTTCCCACTTTTCACATGGCTTGGTAACATTAGTGTTAATTGGCTTTTCTGAAACTGCAGCAGCATTGTCATAAGTTGCAACAGGAAAGAATTGTGTTTATATCAGCCTAACAGTGTTTTTGGGCAATTTTACCATAGAGAATCTCTTATTTGGTTAAATTTTTTGTTTATCATATTTGTAGAAATCAATTTCCATGTGCTGTGAAAGTCACAATAGATTTTCCGTTTTTTGGAATCATTACGGTTCTTGAGTGTAAAGAAACTATAAAAGATCTAGAATTAGAGATTTTTACAAATCACTGGGAAATTCTTTAAGAAGAACTTCATTGTTTACATCTCGTTTCTCGAAGGTTGAGCCAGTTTTTCAAGTCCTTTGAGGTGCATACCCACACAAGGGAAATGAATAGACTTAAGTCTCAATTGCTAGAATATGTTCTCTGCCTTTTTTGTTGTCTTGACTGGTCTTTCACTAATGCCCATCATTCTCACCAACGCATCCTGAAGCTGGTCTCTGGCCCCCGCGGCAAAGTGGGATGTTTACTGGGCACCTCAGGCAGTTGTTTGCAAGACTGCCTCTGATCCTCGCTGCGCCACTATCGAACTGTAGTGGAAGACGACCTGACAGGAAGTTATGATCTAAAAACAAGGCTCTCCACGGGTTTCCCAATCTATCCCCATATTCCTTGGGGATCCCACCAGTGAATCGATTGTGGGCTAGATTAATTACTGCCAAGCTCTCGTAGGTGACCAAATTAAGGGGCAAATGACCTTGCAGATGGTTCTCTTGTGCGTCAAGTACTTGAAGTGGGGACGGAATCTCATAAGTGTTGTTCACCTCCATTACCGTGAGTTGGTTGAAGGAAACATTGATGTGATTCAACAGAGGCAATGCAAGAATTCCCTTGCTAATGGAACCCGAAAACCTGTTATCACTCACGTCAACCGATCTTAGATGCTCAAGCGTCCCTAGTGATGTTATATGCCCTGAAAGTAGGTTGTGGCACAAAGTCAAAGTTCTCAACCTTTTAGGAAGCATTGGCAAGTTTCCAAAGAACATATTGGAGTCAAGCTCTAATGTCTGGAGCTGCCATAGTCCATTAATGTTAGGAATTCTCCCCGAGAATCCATTGTTCGACAGCCTTAACACGGTCAATCTTCGTAGTGCAGAAAGTCTGTCAGGGATTTGACCCGACAGGAGGTTTTTCGAGAGGTCTATTGTTTCAATCTCCCTGAGTAGATAGACCCATGCAGGGATGCTGACAGTGAAAAAATTGCCTGCAACGGAAATTCGTGTTAGCTTCTTGAGATTGAATATGGTATCAGGTAATGGCCCTCTAAATCGGTTTCGGCTGAGGTCAAGGGAGGTGAGCTCAGTCAGGTTTCCTATTAAGGGTGTAAGAAAACCATCATACCCTGCGCCATCAAGATCCACTGATATTATTCGGCTTGTTGAATTGTCCAAAGGAATAGTACATAAAATTCCCAGAAATTTTGCCCCTGTACTTTCACATGGATCCGCTAAGAAATCCCAAGTACTGAGGTAAGATGATGGGGGAATCGTGTTGGGATCAATGGAACGTTTCAGCGCGCTAAGAACTTCGATTTCTGATTGTAAGGTTAATGAATGAACTAGTGTAAGACTACAAATTAGAACTAGAGTAAAGATCATGGAACATAAAGAGAAGGAGACCCAGGGACGTGTGCCTGTGGCCATTGGTTTGAGGAACCGGGGTCACCTAAGCAGCAGGGAATAACGTATAAATAGTTATATCATCAGGATCTGTACATGGAGATGGTACTTTTAAAAAGTAATTTTCATGACCATGCCAAACGAAGGACTCTTCAGAGTCAGGTCGAAAGCTGGTGAACAGGTTTTAAGTAGGCAGAAAGTCCAATGTTTACCATTTCAACCTACCTTCTATTAGAATTGCAATCTAAATTTTAGAGGCCAAAAGGAATGATGGGAAATGAGCATTCAATAGGTGCATTGCATTTCTTACCCCTAGACGTTCATTAGTTGGTCAGTGGGGAACCTGGAAGAAGACTAAACATTCTTAAACCTGGAGCTAACCTTTCTCACCACAATATCAAATTTGTTCTGCCAATGATATTTTAAATATATCTTCACTGTTGCCAGAGGAGCCAGTCCCATTGGGACCCTGTTTCTCATTTGAGTTTCCATCCCCTTTCACTCCCATTATAATGAAATAGAAGGCATAACCACACTGATAATGTTGTTTTGTAATTACCTTCTCCCATCCACGAGAACTTCAGAGCACTTAGAAAGTTATTTTCTGCCTACAGCTTTTGCAATTATCGAAATCTTGTCTGGCTCAAATATAAACATCAACAATCATCGACCAAGAGTTGGTTTGATCTCTTCTTAAATATCAGCTGTCATAACAATATCAGGACAGAAACCGGGATGTTCTCCAAGACAGATCCTAGATAAGAGATGTGATTCATTGGCAGCATAACATGAAAGGAGTTGCACTGGATACAGTGAATAGGATGTCCTAGAGCATGGGGTGATGCATTCACCAACTTGGAACAAGCAATTCACACATCAATTGAAGAAAATATATAAGTATTCTCATGATCATTCTGCCAGCTCAATATTAATGCAATGTGTGTGTAGGCGCTTACGTATACCTAAATACGAAAGTATAAACACGTAGTTGATCAACCTATCGACAAATAAGTCTAATTACATCCATCTTCAGCCTAGATCAGGGACTGTGAAGAACTCATCATCATCATCTTCTGGGATTTCAATTCTAGGCTTCTTAAGGGGCATGGAATATTTGGTGGGTCTGCATGAGTTGAAATTGCCTGACTGTGGTATTGGAAGTTGAGGAACTTCAGCTGCTGCTAAAGCCTCCTGAGACAATTGCTCACCAAAAAGACCGATGTCTGCTAGCCATTCAAGCTCTCCAAGCTCAAGTTGCTCTTTCTGCATAAAGATGACGGGAAAAATTGGAGGAAGATGACAATATTTTAAAGTAACAGTTTAAATACAGCTGATCAGTCAGTTGTTTCAGCATCAATTGGTCCTTCCAGATAGGGAATATAACCACAAGGCATTTCACATTATTTAAGTTGGGAGAAAAAATGTTACAATGGTTCAAATATGTAAAAAAAAAGTGTCTCATTCAGAAAGAACTGTTATTGAACTTATTAACTTTAAGTTAGGTTGGTTATATACAAAAATGGACCTTTCTTTTATGAAAATAAAGCAATTAAAATCATACTATCTTTTGGTAAATTTTAAATTCATGTTATATTCATTTTTGTCAAAGTTATGTGTAATTTAATTAATGATATTTTTCTACATGCTTCTTCTAAGTTTTTATATCTCTAATATATCTGGCCACAAGAAAAATTCATAGATACATTTTCATATAACTTGAAAGCAATTAACACAGGGATGTGTTTATTAGGGTTTTCCCCCTTTGAGGAACATAAGGATCTTGTTGTGAGCCCCTAGTTTTCATATTTAATCATGTTGTCCACATTCCCCAGCCATATTACATCTCAAACACTCCATTGACATTTATATACAACTCGATGTTCTGCCAATGTGAACTAATTAATGGAGTATTTGGATAGTATACAAGAAGTTCCTGACTTCTATAGATTTCAGAAATATCATAGTTTGCTAAACCAATCATGTATAAGCAAAAAAAATAAATAAATGCCTTTAATCATTATATCTTTCTCACCTTTTCAGGAGATTCAATATCTGAAAATTGTAGCAGGTCATCCACAGCCCATGAAGATGTGAAGTTTGACTGTTGCTGTGCAGGCATTTTCATTGAAGTCAGAGGTGCACTCTTGTTGGGCGGCTCCAACCCACTCTTTTCAGTGTTCTTATTGCAACTAGAACTTAAGGCAACACGGATTCCTGTGGCTAGGAACCTTTGATGATTTGCTGAAAGGCTGCCAGCTGAATGGATAGGTTCATCACAATCCTGGCAAAAGAGGGCTCTATCTTCAACACAAAAAATGAAAGCTGCTCTTTCCTGTGAACCATGTAAGAGTGAGAAGAGGATCAGGGCTTTTGATCATTCAGAAACTTTAAGCAATCATGATAAGTAACAACATTTGAACAATCATAGGAGCCTGAGTAAAAAGAGTTAGTGCTAAAATTAGTATGAATGTTGCTTTTACTCTCTCTCTCACTGAAGTCTAAAAGCATGGAGGTTGGGTAACTATAACGTGAGGAGTGGGTAACTAGATGTAATCCACAATTTAAATTGGTAAAAGCACTAGACTACCAAGCGAAGCGGTTAAATTAAATCTCAGTGAGAAAATGTTGAAGCTTGGGACCAGTCATATCATCCTAGGGCTCAGCATGCAGCTTTGGTCAGACGAACTCTAGAAACTTGCTAATAGCCTTTCAATCAATCAGAAGGGTTGCAAACACTTTGCATATGTTTCAAACTATTTGTCAAATTTCATATTCTGTTTACTAACTAAGAAAGGGAACATATGCTTCTCGCTTGATATGTCTTCCCTCTCATGAAGGTGCCGTTGAACTTCTCTCAGTCCTCTTTCTTGCATGCCAACAACCAATATAGCTGACAAAACTGATACTCATGACCATAGGCTTCACAGAGGCTTCGCAGCACAAGCTGATTTATTTGAACATTTCAGATTTTAACATGTCATCAAGCTAATATACTAGTGATTATAAGATTTATGGTATGAGCCGATTTGTGGGAAAATTTCGGATTTTAACATGTCATCAGAGCAGATCAATTGAGAAACAATTAAAAATTCCAAGCAGGGAGCAGTTGTACACAACTGCTGATCTGAAGCTACAGGCCAAATCCATAATTTTCTTTTTTTCATCTATTATTCTCACATGAAACATTTTATTGCCAAATTTAATTAAGGGAGGGAGGAGCAAAGGAGGTCTAGATTTTTTAAGACCACAACAGAAGACTCAAATGGAAATCAGTGCTTTTGAATAATCTCTCATTCATCAAAGATTTGAGGGATCTGAGGAAGAACCATCAGTTGTATTTCAAGTGTATTAGAGGCTTCTAGGTTAATAACATGAACAGACACGAAAAATACATATAGAAGTTAGACAAATCATTCATTTAAGCACATATTGCAAACCTTATCCACCATTTTTCTCAACGTTATTGGTTTTAGTTTTAGTTTTCAGTAACAATTTCGACTCTTGCACAGGCATAACTCTATTTGCTTAATCAGTTTCTGAAAAATAATCTTAACAATGAGCCATTCAGATCTATGTACCAGGACTTGTTTCTGAACCCTAAATAAGTGCCAAAATTCAGATCCCACTCTTCCATTCGTATTTTCTGGTTGCATACATTTGATAATAGGTTTAACAACCAAAAACAATAGACAGATTACTTAGATCAATAAGATTAAATTACAGAATCCATGAAAAACGACTGAGACCTGTAAAAATACATAGAAAATATAAAAACTAACAGCAAAAAGCTGAAGTTTTTAGGAGATAAGTAAATCAAGGGTACCTGGCATATGTCACAAGGAGGAAGCTTGTTTGAAAGGCACTGAAGGAGAAGCCTTTGGTGCTTGCTTGCAAGCTTGTTAGCTGCATGAACTTCAACATCGCATTTTGCACAAAGTGCAGCCTCGTCTGCACAACAGATCACTGTTGCTGGAGCTCTTTCACAAACATCACACTGGATTTTCATCTTTATTTGACCTGGGAACTCTATTCAACTCACTTTCAATATTTTTCACTAGTACTTTCAACTTTTAACCAATATATATCCCTTTGCTTCAGAAATTCAGGAGATAACCCATAGTTTGAAACCTTATGAAAATAATGAAAAAGTGAAGCCAAGAAGAAAACAAGATCTGGGTCTAAAAAAGTTTTCTCTTTTTTTCCCTGAGAAAACACCTGAACTTTCAAAGAGAAAAACTTGAGTATTAGGACGAGGCTTTTGTGAGTAGAGGAGTACAAGAAAGGGGAAAGAGATAAGAAAATCTGGAAAAGTCTAGACAGAAGGAGATAATGAGGGTCAGAGAAACAGTGGAGGAAAATGTAGGTGAAGTAGTAAACACAAGTTAAGTAAGCTAGAATCTGTGGACGATGCCAGAAGGGAGAAGCGATTGGTGAAGAATCCAAGAGAGAGTGAAGGAGTTGGAGATAAGGGTGATGAGATTTTGTGTATCAAAATCAAGACATTGAGTGCTTACAACAATGCAACTGGTGGGGTCAGTCCCCATGCATTGTGTGGTTCTGGTGCGTGCTACCAACCAAAACACGTTTTGCGGTCACCATTGACTTTGGATTTTTGTCCTTTTAAGGAGGTATGATTCTGTGGATTCCTTTCCTATTACCTGATCAAGTTGATGGGTACGATTAGGTGTTTCACAACCTTACATCATTATCATGATGTAAATTCTAATGCTCTGTTTGCAGAGAGACAGAAATGGGAAAGGCGAGAGCTTTAAAGTGACCAGGCCCTCCAAACATCCAAGTAGCTGCTTTGACCTGCGAGTCTCCAGGTCAAATCCCAGATTTTACGGGTCGAAATGATTTTTTTTTGTTATAAAATTGATATTATATATATATATATCTGACACATAATAAAGAATAATAAATGGTTTCCACGTGTATCAATATCATTGGTTTTACAGATTTATTGATACTCACCGTGATAATGTGTAAAACGATTATGAGCAATAAATTTTAAAAATATAATAAAATCTAGATTAATTACTTTTTATATTAACAAATCATATACTTAAAAATATCAAAAAAATGGTAAAGAATATTGAGAAAAGATATATAAACGAAACTCTAAAAAAATTTTTTTTTTTTTTTAAAAAGAGAAATTGTTGTTTATTTTCAAAACCAACCAAGATTTTGAAAACCTAATCATAATCTAATACAAACTTTAACCCGACTTACTCCAACTATTACAGATTTATTCTCTTCTTTATTTAAAAATTTTCTTTTTTGTCTTCAATGAGAGATTATATCTTACATTTATTATTATTGAAAATAAACTTATTACTACAAGACTCTTGTTGAGATTCTCTTCAGCTCCCTGTTTTAAAGGATCAATGGTGCGGTGGCAATGGTCAGAAGATTATCCAGCTTTAAACCTTCGATGAGATAAGTTATAGCTCGACTGTCAGACAAGGGGAAGGGTACGAGAGAAAAACGAAGAGAAGTATTGCATGGGAGGGGGACAACTACCCCAGACAAAGATCATCACAAAGCTCTTGATCATGGCTTTTAAGATTGTACGTGACAAAATGACCTGAAAGAGTGTACCAGAATTTGCCACCCTGACCCACAACATATTCCTATTTGTAACTTTGCCCCAAAATTCTTTATACGAATATTTCCTATATAACGTCAATAGCTTGAGTGTGTATGCTAATACCCCCATTCCCATTTGGTGACAAACACGAAGACAAAAGCTCTTAAGTTTACCTTTAAGATATAAACTAAAGTCATATCTCTTACAACTTTTAATTTTGACTTTCAACATGATGATGTGGCACTCCACATGGTTATGATTCTACTTTCAAGATGTTCTCATACTCACACAATACATGAAATTTAAGAGGGAGTGAGAAAAGAAAAGGGTAAGAGAGGAACAAGCTTGAGGGACAGATCATGCACGAAAGAGAACGAAAACAAATAGTGTACTGGGATACATACTACAGGGCCCAAAACACTCTCCTATGAACACGTGACCCATGCTTTTTTTTGTTAAATTTAATGGTTATATGTCAATATCAGGAAACTGAACATAAATCATATGAAATGCAAGAATCATTTTAAACATTTGACAACAGAGAGATAAAAATGAATATTATATATGTCGTAATGTGCGAGTTTAAGAATTCAATTGTTGGATGATTAATGAGTTGTTTTTAATATTTTTTTATGTAGATATTAGTTCATTGTCAAAACGAATTTATCATTTATGAAGATTTTAAAATTGGTTTAAACGTTTTATAATTAATAAATTTTGATTTACGAAATTGAGAATACAAAAAGAAATATTTGTCGCTGGTTAAAAAACATGCGACTTGGCCAACAAAGCACAAACGGTGTATTCGCTAAAAGTGGAGGTGCCAACAGATGCTGAAAAGGTTCAAAACGTGTATGACATGTTGGAGATGACGTTGACTTTCCTAAAATTAGGCAAGAGAAGACGTGATCAAGTTTTCCTTGTATGCTTCTTAAGAGTTGTATTTCTTTGCCAAATTTTGCTTTCAAGGTCTTCACCTCTTGTAACATACGTAATGATGGATTTTGCCCTCTTCTCTCTTCTTATTTGTCTTTTCCCATAAAAAATTTTCAATACAAAAGTAAGTTTATATTTAATATACTAACAGTATATAAATATCCCTAAAAAAAATTTAATTAGACAGATCTCCATTTGTTTCAAGTTTAAAGTTATCTCACCTGGAAAAAAATTAAACCAGCCCTGGAGATGGAAGCATCATCCTCGAAGACGACTATTACAAAACTGCTGTTAAATAAGAAAATAAAGTTTTCGAAAAATATAAGATTTGCATTCACTCGAACAACACAGCCGTAGACCATTATAAGTTCGGGTTTGAAAGAAGCAAAGCAGTAGGAAGAAGAAAAAGATGAGACCAGATGGATGATTGAGAGTTGAGTCAGAAATAGATTTAGGTTTTATGTAATCGATATTTATTTTTGAGCTTTTAAAAATTTTTATTTTTATTTTTATGATAAAGTGACAGTTGATAATGATTTGACAACGTGTAGAGATTATACATAGTGGTTCTTGTATCAAATATAAATATTTATCTTTTAAATAGTAAAAATTAGATATCATTTCTTTATCTTGGTTATTTTTATTTTCAATTAATTATAAATTTTTAATAATTTATTTTTATATTTTAATAATAAAGTCTTTTATCACTAATGATTACATAATTATCATTAATTAAAATAATATATGTTATTTTATACCATATGATAATGATATTATATTATGTGGTGGCATGATATGTTAAGATGATTATTAATATTTTTCACTTTTTATCTCAAATGCACGAGATCATAAAATAGTTAATCACCTATTAGTCGGTCTATTTGACTCAAAAAGAAGAATTTAATTAAATATAATAAAAATAAAAATTATTTAAAATTTTTAAAATAATTTATAAACTTCTTTAAATATTATTCTAAATAGTAATAATAATAATAGAAATAATAATTAAAATAAAATGAATTACATGACAAGAAGAGATGAATATTTTATTTATCTCCTCTTTTTTTTTGTCTTTTTAGTGTTAGTGTCTGAATCTTTTTAATGAACACTTAAAACTCTGTTTAGGTAGAAGCCATTCTTTTTTAATTGAACAACAATATAATATGACTTGCCATGTCTTTTTTTCTTGTCTTTATAAAGACAAAAACCAACAAAAATGGCCAGGTGAATCAGGACGAGAACTAGAAAGACACCAAATCGGGAACTCAAAAAAAAAAAAAAAAAACGAATCTTATGCATTAAAAAGTTCAATAAAACAGATACATAAATAGAAAAAAATAAACAAACCTTTTAAGGACAAATTCCATCCTTTCTTTTCAGTTTCCCCTTTTAACCCGGCAAATCAAGCAACAAGACAAGGGTACAAAAGTAATTTATGCACAACAATGAACCGGTATAAAGAGTCGTTTTTTTAAGTGTTCATTCTTTTGGCTATATTGGGAAAGCAAGTATACACTTGTACGCTCACGCTTACACTTGTATTTATTCTTTGCCAAACCCTTTTACATCTTGTCTAAATTGCAACAAGCAGTCTCGATTTTAAATCGTTGATCTCATTTTATATTGCATTTTGTCTATAGTTACATACTGATTTATTTAATTTGTTCATTAATTTTTTGTACTGGATGTAATCATTTGTGATATATATTAACGGTTTTGTTCGATTGATTGTAATTTTTACTTGTTCATGTAATTTTATGGAAAAATGTTGGTTAAGTTTTTTAATTTGAAATTAAAAATAAAATTCAGCTTCATTTGATAAATAATTAATGATTTATTTAGTATTTTTTTTAAAAAATAATGCTTATAAATTAAATTTTTGGTGATACATTATAATATGTGCTCTTGAATCTTGACCTCAATAGTAAGCATTAGTAGATTGAGTACTTGTAAAGCCTTCAATCATCTTGAAAATGAAGGAGCCACTTAATTAATGCTGGCATTAGCAAGAATCATGATTGAAATGATGAATATACATGTTAGTATTTATTTATTCAATTATTTTATTGCTTATATATATATTTATATATATTAAAAAAATTACCAGGTTAAAAATATAAATTATAACACGTGTTAAATATTGCATCTCATAGAAGACAATAATGAAATAAATCAAATAGACAAACTGATCAAGAACAAATTCAACATAAAAAATGAGTGTAATCTAAACAAAATAATTAAGTACTGGAGTTAGAAAAAGCAAAGAATCAACATTGAGTGCCAATTGATAGAAAATAACGTTACAATATGAATTAATATGTTTAAATTTTAACATGTAGAATTGAGGTAAAAATCTTCTATTCTAGTTGTCATGTTTTCTTTCGTATTAAAAAGGCTAAATGTTCAAATTGAGATTAAATGTTTAGACACTGTTTTAATTAAGGGCTAAATATTTCAATTACAATAATTGAGGATTACAT